ATATTGCCCCTTTAAGCCTACATGTTCAAAGTGCCCCAATAACAGATTTAATATATTGAGTTGAACATGTTACAATTTACATTTTAAGTGAAAAGTTTGTCAGTGCATTTTTTTAAAAAATGTATACAAGTTGAAAGAAATATTTAAACTTTGCCACAGTATACCGTATATATCAGGCTGTATATTTCATTTGATCCAGTCATAGGGGCTGTAGGCCTAWAAAGATGGAGAGCAACCTTGTTCCAAATGAAATAAATGTGCTGTAATGTTTAAGTTAACTCGGTAAGTAGCCTACACAGTATTGGTAGACGGCATCGGTGAGTACACAAATTGAAGTACTRAAATCTGGTATCGGAACATACCTAATCTGGTAATCTGGAGTGATTTCATCATGAATTCTAGCCTTAAAAGKGTAATCAACAAGCCTCACAATGATYCCAAACATTGTTCAAAGGGATCTACTGATGTAACGGCAGCTGTCAGAGAAAAACACTGTTTTATATTTTTGAAGCTTATGTCAGAGATTCTACATTTACCTGAGACCTTGGATGACTACACTTCCTTTACTGTTAGTTTATCACCTTGGATGACTACACTTCCTTTACTGTTAGTTTATCACCTTGAGTAGGTTAGAATTAGCTTTGTAAGACTACATCTTAATATGATTGCATAGAAGTTGCATGCACCTCAGCACAAGAAGCGCAAAAGAATAATGAGGAAAGTCAAAACTGCAAACAGCCATGAAGTTTGGTGGAGTGTATTTATTAAACAATWTGGGACCGTATTATTTCTAATCTTCATTATCATCTTTTTCCTGTAAAATGACCAACAAGGCTTGGATTTCCCTGATTCCTCTCTTTCTCAGACATGCTGGGGAGGAGAACTGGCTCGCTCCGTGAAGAGGTCTGGTAGTAAGGACARACTTTTAGATGAGCAGAGATGGGATGTGTGTCAGCGGCCATGTGCCATGAATCCACTGCTGAGAACAAATGACTGAACTCCCACACCTGGAGAGAAACAGACAAAGTCATGAGAGGAGGAATCATTAAGAAGATTATAGATGATTTAAAAAAAAYGTCTTACAGGTTTTGCCCTCCACTTAGATCCTCCATGAGGGAAGCGTTCCTTCTCCCAGCKGAGGGTGACCATCCCCCTGACCTTCAGCAGAGAGGAGCACACCTGCCTCATGAGCCGGGACACCAGGGACAGCTGGGACAGGGACAGGCTGTCCAGGAAACTAGCCATGTGAACCAACACCTCATACGGCAGCGAGCTGAGGGAGTCCTCCTCTCCTCCAGCTCCACTTCCACTCTTCWTCTTCTGACCCTTAGAGGAGTTGGYGGMGCTGCTGGGTGAGTTGTTACCCAACAAGGGAACCGCCAATGGACTTAAGTTGAAACTCCTCAACTTCTGGCTGGGAAGGAGAAAAACAAACACCTTGCTCTTATTTGAGACATCTGTGGCAAATTGACCAATCCAAACCAGAGTTATAGCTCTGTCTAATCTGTAAACTTGCAGTTTASCACTTTCAGAATAAAAGCATTTCTAGATCAAGTTTATATTTTTATGAGTATTTAAACTTATCCAACATCAAACAGCAACTTTCTCTACCATATTTTATACGTAATCTGTTTTTGTATTTATTGTTGAATATTGTTAAATACTTTTCTTATCTTTTTGATGTTTTTAGTTTGAAGGTTTTTTTACGTTTTAGTGGGGATAATCTCTTTTATTTTGGAATAAATAGCATAAAAACAGAAGTTTTACACTTGTAAATGGAAGCTAACCATTCTGTTAACAGTTTTGCAAAGTTCACAAAAAAAAAAAGCTAGTCCGCTACATGTGAAGCTAGTTTTGTTAGCAGATTGGTGAATCTGTGCCTTGCACCTTACTCCAAAATGAAGCTGGCTTGTCCAAATGTGCTTTAGCATACCTCAAGCAGCTCTGTTTGTGATGTGGGCAGAGAAAAGGCTTCCTCTGCATCACTCTCACATACAGCATCTCCTTGTGTAAAGTGTGCTGAATAGTTGAACGATGCACAGTGACTCCATCAGCAGCAAGATRATGTTGTAGGTATTTGGTGCTGGTCTGTGGGTTGACTTCGACTGTTCTTCTCAACATCCTTCACTTCTGTTTATTCCAGATTTTTCTTGGTCTGCCACTTCGAGCCTTGACTTGAACTGTGCCTGTGGTCTTCCATTTTCTCACAATGGGCCTCATGCAAGAACATGTTCGTATTCTTATCCTAAATTTCTCCTACTTTTGTTCGTACGAAGGGTTCGTACGAACATGCCACGTCAGATTCAACAAACTCTTCTATCTTCAGGAAAAGTGTGTAAATGAGCTGCGTAAATTCCACCTGTTCGTATCCAGCTGCTCGTGCACGCGAGAGGAGATTAGCATAATTACCACCCCAAAAACACCATATAAGGCTATGTTTCCTGCCTCAGATACAAGGAAGTGTCCATTCATGAAAATGACAGTGAAAACTAAAAAGAAAAACTTTACGAGTTCAGAGATTGAAGTCCGTCTGTCAGAGATCCAGAAAAGAAAATCTGTCATTTTTAGCAGGTCAGCTGTGGAATAAAAAGAGCTGCTAAAAGTATAAACAACTGTGTTAAATCATTTTCATTTATTCAGAAGCCACACAGTCGCGCACCGTGCGCACCCCCCACCCCACCCCACCCCTGCGCGCAGTATCAAGTGGTCTCAGTTGCGGTTCTGAAATAAGCATTTTAAAATGTTTTCAAAATGTCTGGCACTTTGGAGAAAATCCAGGACTCGCTGGAGGGATTATGTATCCCCTCTGGTCTGGGAACGTCTCGGAGTCCCCCAGGACGAGCTGGAAGGTGTCGCTGSGGAGAGSGMRGKSTSKKTCTC